TGTGTGTGTGTGTGTGTGTGTGTGTGTGTGTGTGTGTGTGTGTGTGTTTGTGTGCCAGCTCACTCTCTCTTCCTGTCTGGCAGCATCAGCTGACCAATTGGAGGTAGCATTGCGTAACAACAACTCTGACAGCTGAAGGAGTATAAACAGGAGCTACAGTGGACACAATAGAGACAGTCAAGATAAAACAGCTGTGACCTGCCACAGTGTCCCGGGGCAAGGCACTGAACAGATAATCAGATAAGAAACAGGTTAGGGTGATTGTGTTCATGTCATCTTGGTTAACACAACCTCGGTATGGAGTTGACCTCATGCCAACTGAGCTGATCATCTGAGCTACAGGTCAAAGGCCAGTCTGACGAGCTTGGACCTGCTGCTGAAGTGATGTCACTTCTGACCAAATATGTTTACTCCGTCTGCATTTTGTGACACAGGATTTTTTATTGGCACAAGACTGTAGGAATTACTATGGTGATGTGAACAGATTCCATTGTCCAAAACTGGATAAAGCAACCGGACAGTTTCTGCAGGAGCGGTGAAAGCTCTAGAGACTCACTGCCTTTACAGACACGAGTTTAGGAAAAGTGCATAATTTAAAAAACATAATAAAACCTTTTGCAATTCTTGAATAATGTCAAGATATGTACTCTGTTTAAAAGACTCTGCAACCAGCTGGAAATATAGGGTAGAGACAAGGATGTTAGGTCCATGCACTGCAGATTCACTGTTATTATATGTGTGTGCAAATTGTATTCTCTCCAAAAGCTTATCAGGTTTATAAGTTAATACCTATTGTTTCATTATCACTGAAGGTCTGGGCCCAGACGTCAATAATGGTTGAATAACATGAGGCACGTTGAGAGATTTATTTTCAGGACTGGTTGACAGAGTTAGGATTGCTTTACATCAGTGGTGGGCCAGCTAAGCCTTCTCTGCTGGCCTAAACAGAATCGCAAAGTTATAGCTATTTTATAATTTTTCACAAATACACTACATGTATTTTAATTTTTGTGCCCATTGCACAGCTCCTGTCTTCCTCTGTTGCTCTGCTTCCAGCACAGCTTGTTTTAAGGAGAGCTTTTATCCAATCAGATTCAGCCCGGTGTTCGTTCGCCGGCCGGTGTTCGTTCGCCGCGTTTGTTTTACATCTGCAGTAACTGTTCATTTGTCTATCGTGTCGTTTTTATGAATAATATGAATGGCTCGCGCTCTAGCGCTGCACTGTTGCTGGATTACATACATAAATAATTGAGGCAGTAGCTAAAGCGAGTAAAAATGGAGGAACAAACTAGCTAAACTAGACTTGCTAAAGGCTAACTAGCCTAGCTTAACAGAGTAGCAGTAACTGCCATCTCATACTAGACTCTAATGGCATTCATGTGATTTGGTGTGATTCAGCGAACTCAAAATTACATATTTTAATGTATTAAGCTGTTCATTCATTTATAATTGCTTTAAATAATCTAAAATAAGTTAATATTCTTAAACTTGGTCAAAAAGGACAAGAAAGCTTAAAGAACAAGGACATTTTGTTTGTAGATTGGCTACTGTATTTTCCCCTCGCATATCCTGGACATTTGTCTAAAGGCAGAGCACAGTATTGTATACAGTCTAACCCACTGACTTTATTTTTGGGGGTTAAATAATTGGATTAAAATGTAGGCATTACAAATGTATCTCTATTATACAGTTTACCAGACAGCCTAGAAGCTTGCCTAGTGACACAATTCCGTGTCAAAACTAAGCGTTTCTGGCGGAGGGTAAATACAGACAGCGTGAGAAAATAAACTTTTAAGAATGTGAGCATATACTAGAGACCCAAAGCATAAGCATGAGCCTGGAAATGAGCATTATATGTCTCCTTTAAACACTTTTTTTTTTTTAGTAGTTGCGACCCTCTTTGAACCGTTACCATTATTACTTTATGACACACCAACACAAAGAGGCTTATCTGCCTGCCCGTGGGTGCGACCAGCCCACTTCACTGCATGTAGTCCACTTCAACAGCTCTCCGTTCAGGAACACAGAGTTTCTCCCTCCTTCCTGCTGTAATGGCCGTCTACAATTAGTGAATAGGAAAATAAAAACGTTTCTTTATGCTAAACATTAAAATACTGTGTGAGGAAGAGTTTTTAAAAACAGATGTAAAGAGCTCATATGTAGCTTTACACATGAATACATGTATTTAATGTTTGTGTAATAAGTAATACCCATGATAATTTCATCGGCATGTCACTCCAGCATGCAGGAGTAAGTTTTAGTGTTTTATTCTTGTGTTACGCTTCCATTTCATGTGTTGTTTGTGACAGAATAAAATCAAACCAAGTCAACGTCAGCTATTAATTTATCCTCTATGCAACCCAAAAAGTGTTTAAATTATTTCTTTACTTTTATTTTCAATGTTATATTTCTTGAATATGTTTTTCTTTACTGCTCGTGTCTGTTCTTGCTGCTCCTCTCACATATTGTCGTGTCACATGTTTTAAGGAACGTGAGCAACACTCAATATTAATTTTTTTTACATGGTTTACTTTGCATTATCACTCAGAGCAAACATAGTGACACACTGAACCTCATAAATAACACATTTTTATTTAAAAAAAATTTGCACTCATTGATATCCACAAAGACAATGAATCAGCCCACGTTACATCAACCAGATTTTTATTTGTGGTTTTTTTTTGTCATTTTTTATTTTGTACAGTAAATGGCTTTTTGGTAATGACAGTCTGCATCAGCCAATCATCTGCAGCCTAATCCAGTCAGCTCGATGCCGATTGGCTGTTTGGGCTCACTCCCACCACCCAACCCTTCTCTCTTTGTGTGCAACAACAACAGAAAGGCAGCACTTTACAGCACCTGGACACATTGTACACGATGAACCAAATACGAAAAGTAAAAAAACGTCTTTCTTAATAATGTCATTTCATTTTGCATTCAGCACAAGTTTTTTGTCTTAAACCTAGAAAAATACCAACATGGTGAGATCATTTATCAGCGTCTTCAAAAAAGAAGAACTAAAGCAGATAACTGCACGAGTATTAAGAAAACACTTGATTTAAAAAAATATTTTTTTTGAAGTTTAATTCTGCTGGAATCATCTCACCTTGCAAGCAGATTCTTAACATTTAAGGCTAAATGACTGGATAAGATGGAGACTTTTTAAAAAAAATGTCTGTGAGCATGAAGCGGAACCAACCTGACCCCGCTCTGTCAGAGGTTTAAGTTTAAACACTGCCGAGAATAAAATGGCTCCCTGAAAGTTCCCCTTCAAGGTGTCAGGATGTCACAGAACTCAACAAAGTCCCTCTGCATGAAATTCTGGCTCTTAATCAGGTCATCTTCAGAGGGGAAATACTGCATGCTGTCCTCCTGTAGACGCAGACTGTCCTCGTGCAGACGCAGACTGTCCTCGTGCAGTACCACAATCTGTCCTGGTGGTGGCGGCGGCGAGCCGTGTGGGTTGGGACTGTCCAAGAGGGCTCCTCTCGCATTCTCCAGGACGCCCAGGTACGAGTCCATGTCCGTGAGCTCCACGTCGCTCTCGGAGCTGCTGCTGTCGCTCCCGACCGAGTCAGAGCGCATGTGCAGCATCTGGTACTTCTCGTGCATCAGAAACTGGTTGGTGTTCTTGGGGGCCCGCATGCCCCTCGCTCTGTTCCCCTTGACGTTGACGGGCCGGAGGGACACCACCGGCCTCGGGAAGTGTCGGGGTGGATGATGACGTTGAGGGGGCTGCTGGGGGTGATTGCGCCCCCATGGCCACCCTCCCCCTCTCCGCCCCTGCTGGCGCCCCCTGCAGCTCTTGGACCAGCCGTGCTTCCTGCGGCTGGAAGGGTCTCTCTGTGGAGCCCCTTTCCCGTCCTGCTGCTGCTGCTGCTGCTGCTGCTGGCAGCTCCTTCTGCACATCATCTCTGAGAGCATTTTTTCTGGTCTTTCTTTGCAGTCGCCTCCCTTTCTCCCTGCAGCTCTCTCTCTCTCTTCACATCCTCCTCCCTGCTCGGTTGGCCCCACACAACAACAACAAAGAGAGGCTGGTTTCTGGCTCAGATCACAAAATGACCCTCCTCTCTCTGATGTCTACCTTTTCACTATTATGTCGCTTTTTTTCTTGACCTCTGGCTTTGGCTGATGCATCGCCTGCTCTTCCTCCCCTTGCGGCAGCAGCTTGCCTGCTCGGCTGGCTCCCTGTCACGCCCTCCTCTCTAATCTCTCTTCTTCACCTCTCTGAAAGTCAAATTACAGCTTCTTGCAGCTCTGATTAGTGACCTGAAATGAGCTGCTAAAAGGGGTTTTTTAGAGTCTTCTATTTAATTTAAAGCTGCTTTTTTCTCTCTCTCTCTCTCTCTCTCTCTCAGTTTAAAGGCCAGCAAGTGGAGTGTACTCAGCTCAGACCAGCACAGACTGTGGCTCTGCCTTCCTCTCACAGCCTGGATAAAGAGCTGGAACAATCCATTCACATGTTTAACAGAAGGAGGGGTGGTCAGAGTTAGCAAGCGTGTCCACTACCTATCATCAACATTATAATACAACATATTTCTATAGAATATTACTTCTCAATACATGTATAAGATAATAAAACGTATATGTCAGGATGATGGTGCCTCGGGTTGTACCTGGGTGTGATAACCCTTAAGCTACTCTCCCCCAGCCGGATGGTTCACTCCGCTTCAGTTTTAGCAGCGGAAATCTGATCCACAGCTGCTGCCGCCCCTCTGACAACAGACACACTGTACAGCAACAACAACCAGCAGCACTGAGACATGAGCACAGTGGTAGTCACTGTAAATAGTTAGTTATTGTGTCATGGACACACAAGTACCCAGCCCACGTGGACTTGTACATGTAAATGAAAATACTGTTGCAGTGGTGAGCACAGTTTCCTTAAATACAGCATTACATTGCAAACGAAGAACTTTGGGTTTTGTCTACAAATAAATATGCCGCAGAAAAAGAAGAAGAAATTACATTTATTTTTACAATAAGATTTTATTAAACTTTTTTTTCTTCTTTTTTACAAAATGTTCCAAAACAACTGGCAATGAGGAAACTCCTGGGTAGATAATAATGAGAATAAATATGAAACACAATTTAAATCATACCGTCTAAGCTAAAAATAAATCTGGTTTGAAATTAAATCAAACACGATTTAGCATGATCTATAGAGGGAACCATAAAGTGCATCTTTATGTGGGTCTGTCCACCGCTTTGGTCCAAACTAAGATATATAATCAAATATTGGATGCATTAATATTAAATCTCATACAGACATTGATGGTCCCAAGAAAATGCATCTTACTGACTTTTCCTCCAGCGCCTCTATGAGGTTCACATTTGTGATATTCGTGAACAATCAACTATTGAATGGATTGATGTGAATTTTGGTTCATAAATGCACGTCCCCCTTCTGCATTAATTGTGTAATAATTCTGGGATCCCTTGACTTTTCATCTAGCGCCATCATCAGGTCCAACCTTCTGTTTGGTATTTTTAGCAAATTCCTGCAAAATCTATGACAGTCCCATCAGCCTCAGTGCGTTTGCATGGAAACATCAGCATTGTTAGCATTGTCTTTGAGTGCCTGTTAGCAATGCTGACATTAGCATTTAGCTCAAAGCCAGCCTTGTTTGTCATCCAACCAGATGACGTAATCAAAAATTAAGGACATGTACTACAAAAAGTACAGCCCCCTTAATCAATACAAAATAAGCAATAACACTTTAGCTGCTGTTTAGGGACATTTCATCCTCAGTGAGAGCATCAAAACGATCCCTGCTCTAACAGTTGTGTTCAGCGCAATGTAGGTCATCTCAATACAACAATGCATGGATGACATAACGTTCCTGTATGTTTGCAGCTGCACTAGCGCCCCCATGTAGCTGTGGTGTATATTACACAGAGCACTGAGGCAGAAGGAGGTGAGGGGGGAGGGGGGGCTCAGTGTTTACTGTAATCCATCCAGCAAAATTGTTGGCTGGATTAGAAGAGACTCATTTGCTATACTTAGATCTTTACCACCAGTGTTTGTTCTGGATTCTCTGATGTGTGTCATCCTAAACACGATCGACGAGTCCGAGTTTAGTAAGGTGATTGCATTTTGTCGTGAAAATGGATTTTGATTGGATTGATTCTTGCTATGGAGTCCTGACTCATCTGCAGAATAAACGCTTGAGGATGATCACATTAAGCGACAATAATCTCACATCCACTGACAATTTAGTTGATTTCTACACAAGAAGTCCTCACCATCCGTCCTTGTAATCCAGCTTTTTTTTACCCTCAGGTTGGAGTTCATGAGGCTCATAGCAGCAAAAGAAACACCTCTTTTTATGTTCTTTATTGGTCCACATTATAGGTCAAATGTCCAGGAAATTTAAAAACAATTAAGAACATTCATTGAAACATTAAAAACAGTCATTAAAACACTAAAAAGCAGTGTAAGAAATAAAATACAGTAGTAAAATGCAGAAATGCAGGAAATTGATTAGTATCCTTGAATATGGTTCAATTAAAGGCAGCAGCAAACAGAAAAGTCTTCAATCTTGATTTAAAGGAGCTGAGGGTCTCAGCAGACCTGCAGCTTTCTGGGACTTTGTTCCAGATATGTGGAGCAGAAAAACTGAACGCTGCTTCTCCATGTTTAGTTCTGACTCTGGGAACAGAAAGCAGACCAGTCCCAGACGACCTAAGGGGTCGGGATGGTTCATAAGGTAGCAGCAGATCAGAGATGTATTTTGGCCCTAAACCATTCAGTGTTTTATAAACCAACAGCAGGATTTTAAAGTCAATTCTTTGTTGGACAGGAAGCCAGTGCAAAGGCCTCAGGACTGGAGTGATGTGATCCACTTTCTTGGTCTTAGTGAGGACTCGAGCTGCAGCGTTCTGAATCAGCTGCAGCTTTCTGACTGACCTTTTACAGAGACCTGTAAACACACCGACCGTTACAGTAGTCGAGTCTACTGAAGATAAATGCATGGACAAATGCTTACCCTCAAATTAGAGACATTGACAATTATCCTGATACATGGATGTATTAAAACCTCATATACCAATGTACACCACTGTGAGCTGCTATTAATAAACATAATCACAACGCTCGCGATAAATCTATGTTTGAAAGATGAGACATGTTCCTATTACCGGACAAAGATCGTGAGTTTCGGTCATTTAAGTATTTTCTTTCAGTTGTATTGTAGGTGTGGTCTAATTACCTTGTCTGACTGATCAAACTATGTCGAGTATGTTTGATGAACGTTCAACATAAAACAGATATTTTCCTGAAATGAAAACGTTGTGAGAAAAAAGAAAACTGTCAACTGTAAAACTACACATAAAGTTTGAGGATTTTGAAAGCAGTCAGCTGCTTCGTTCAGCATCACAACAAACATGGCGTCCAGAGGCGGCTAACTGAGAAGAGAAGCCGGGAATCCTCAAAAGCCGTTTTAGTTCAGAGTGTTATAACTTAATGACGGATAACAGTTGCTTCTTCGCGATCTCAAGATGGAAGCCACCTCTTTTCCAGAAGAGGTTTCGGAGAGGAACGTGTGTGTCGTCGGGTCGGAGCTGGTGGAGAACTACACCGTAAGCTACATCCGGGTTCCTCGAGCCTACCGCCCGTTAGCTTAGCTAGCTTGTAGCTACCATTAGCTTCAGCTCTGTCAAAGTGACAGTGGGTTAATGTTGAAGAAGTTGCTTTTACCAGTCCATACATAACGTGAGACGGCATTGTACTGTTTTTCCCCATTAGTCATTATGTCTTTATCCGCATGAGGCTGGACGAATAAAGAACGACAAACCTGACAAGCTAACTGCTAACTGCAGTTGCAGTTTCCTCCAACTGCAGCTTCCTATTGTGCTGTCAGGCTCAGGGATGATACGTTACGACTATACGGTGTAACAGTTTACACCTTTTATGTTCGACAATCGCAGACATGGCGGTGGAAGTAATGAGGTCATCCCTCTGAACATAGTGTCCTATTCACTTAGAGTCCTATGTTCCCAACAGTGTATGTTTTTAACACTAACTAACACTGTAAGATATTGATAAGGGTTATCTTTGCAGCTCAAATTGCAAACAAATTAAGGGAACTGGACGTTTTCAAATGCAGTTTGAATGGTAAATATTGCTTTTAACAACATGGAGATATCAATTTCGAAAGAAATATAACTGCCTTGCACATGAAGCCATTTGAAAAATACTAACTAAGGACTGCTTCTTTGTATTGTTGTGCATATGACAATAAATAACCTAAAAATGTACATTATAGGGTGAACTTGAAGGTTCACCATTGACGTTGGACATTAGATTGTGGTCTGCTTACTGGAAATGGCTTTTTTTCACCTGCATCTTGTGGTTCCTCCTTATCGGATGGAGCTGTCATAGTGATGTCTCAAGTGTTATCACGTGCCTTATGTTTGGATCTTCATCCGATAATAGTTGGTTGCATATCGGAGGAGACGGTATTTGATCTTTTCTACATGTAGTTATTGGCGCATCCGTGCAGTTTGGGCAGATTTGTAATGATTGAGTGTCTTGCTGTGCTGTGTTTCAGGTCTATATCATCGAGGTGTCGGAGAGAGAGCACAGATGGACTGTGAAGCACCGCTACAGTGACTTCCACGATCTCCACGAGAAGGTGAGGGACCGGAGCAGGTCCGCTTAAATCTGCTCAGAGTGAGAGGCGTGATCGCTTTCACCAAACATTTATTTTGTAGTCTGTCCAGGTAAACTAACAGCAGGGCAAAATGTGTGTTTGAATTAATTTACTCACCCGTGTGACATTATACATATAGTACTTATTGTCATTATACTCCCAAAGAGAATCACTTTACAAGAATATAACCGAGAAAAGCAGCCAATAATCACATTGGAGAAGCAGCACCCGGACAAGCTTCATAACTTATTGTTCAATGTGTGTTTCCCTGCAGTTGACGGCAGAGAAGAAGGTGGACCGAGGGCTGCTCCCTCCAAAGAAGATGTTGGGGAAGAACTCAAAGAGTCTGGTGGAGCGGCGGCAGAAGGAGCTGGAGCTCTACCTGCAGACGCTCCTGCTGCAGTTCCCACAGGCCACGCCCACTCCGCTCGCCTGCTTCCTGCACTTTCACCTCTATGTGAGTTCACCTGAGGCTCCTACAAGCCTTAACCTCTGCACATGTACAGTAAGCTATTCAGGTGCTTCAGCCTTCTAGTACTACACCTGATGTTACAGTTGGTTGTGTGATTCCATCCCATGGGCATTAATCTGCTGCTATAAACAGCCTTCTGGTCGTTCCAGTTCATCTCAAAGGTGTTGAACGGGGTTGATATCATGGCTCTGTGCAGACCAGTAAAGTTGTTCCACACCAAACTGGGAAAAACATTTATTTATGGAGCAGGACCCCAAACTGTTGAGTCCAATAATAGATTTCTGGTAAATTTCCAGTGATTCATTATTTTGGTTCCATAAAGCTGGACTTCATAAAGCAACATGGCAAATCATTGCTGCTTCTCCAACATGAAGATGTGCTGCCTTTCTCTGTTTGGTGTAATTGTAAATTGAAGATCTTTGGTCAGAGATAAAGAATTTGACATTTTATAGATTAAAAACAATTATTAACTAGATACATGTCATGTCTGGTAAATAGCTGGTCTCTTTTGTTAAATGCTGTGTCAGAACCTTTACTACACTGAAACCAGGTCAAAAGCATTTTCACTTTCACTTCTGTTTTTTAACATGGTGGTCATGTCAAAAGTTGACGAAAGGCAGAAAAGTGTGTTAAAGTGTAAGATGTAACAATGATATGTGGTTGAGAAGCGCGGCTCTAGGACATCTTTGTCATGTCAGTGACTGATCAGATGATGGTGTCGAGACAACAGACCATTGTTCTCTGAGTCCTCAGGACTCTGAGTTAACAGCCAAATAAAGAAAAAAACACTCATGTGATGTGAAATATCAACATGTGACTGTCGCATACGAGTTAGAAAACGGTTGTATTGTTTATTTTTCAGCTGCACCTAACTACTGTATAATGTAACTGTGATGAATACATGATGTTCACTTTCTACGGTGAGCTTCAGGCCTCTGCAGGTGTTGCTATTAAAATACTGTTTAACTAATCCAGGCTAACATGATGCTATCCAGCTAAAATGATCCTGATAATTATCAACCAGTCCAGTTAGTGTGAAGGATGAAGTTTAAAAAAGCAACATCGAACATCTGTAGAGAGTTTAAAACGGGTCCGTCTGTCTGCTGAGCAGTGAAGTAATACGATTATTTAACTGAGTCTTCAAGCTGAACTTTTTGTTTTTACAAAATTAATCCAGTTTTTAACAAAGTCTTTGTTTCTTTCAGGAGATCAACGGCATCACAGCAGCTCTGGCTGAGGAGTTGTTTCATAAAGGTTAGCTTCCTCTCTGACCTCTTTCCTCTCATCTAGTGTTTCTAACAGTTAACTCCTTTAGTGGAGTGTTTCCACTTTACAGCAGAAGCTTTCTCCCTTTTAGTTATTACTACAGTATACTTGTCAGTTCAAGAGATAAAGTGCAGTGAGCCAGACTGCTCTGTACTTAGTTAATCAGGGACAATACACATTCATTCAATCCTCAGGATGTAAATGTGGCAGATTTAGTCAAATGTCAGTGAATAGAAAAATCATTTAAACTGAGGGCGAATTCACAAGAGGATTGCACGTTTTTTGCGACCGCTAAACCTGCACAAATAAGACAAAAATAATGTAATTTTTAAAGCACTCGCAGAGGGTGAAATGCATCCCGTAGTTCACAGTCAACTAAATAGCATCTCCGTGCACATATTTAAATGAGGTAATATGCACTGAAGCCAGGCGAAGGCATTGTCATGCTTCACTCAAACTCATTTATTTTGGGATTTAGTGACAGCTGTGTGATGAAAAATGAATTAATAAAGCTCCCATACATGTCATTTTTTGAAAATACTTTTTGAAAAAAAAATAATACATTTATTATATAAACAAATTATTTCTTCCCTCTATATCTCCAAAAAGGGCAAATTGCACTCGGCTGCAAAACTTAATGTCGGTGTTTGAGCTGTAATATAATTAGCACTATCTGTTGTGAATCTGACGTTGAGGTGGGGCAGATAGCGGTTGCAAGTTATGTGCAATCCATCGTTTCTTTGATTGCATAACGACATCCTGTGAAACTGCAGTCTGTTAAGTAAATCGTGTTTCTTCATGTTAGACTCTGTACTGTTTTGTTTTTTGGATCCTTAGAAGTCCAAAATAATCATCAATCAATCCTCATTAATCCAGTTTCCATAAAAGAACAATTAAAGTTTCATCTCTCGCTGGTCGTCACAGTTCATGTTTATACAACCAAATATATTTTGACTAATATTTAAAAAGCAATATTGTCAACATCTGATTTGTAGATGTTGTACTGTGAAGCTTTAACTTGTTCAGATGAAACCTTGTGCGGTGCGTAGAATCAGACCGCTGTTTGTTTGTTGTGCTGTAGGTGAGCAGTTGCTGCAGGCCGGCGAGGTGTTTTCTCTCTGCCCGCTGCAGCTCTACTCCGTCTCCCAGCAGCTCCGTCTGGCCAAACCAACCTGCTGTAACGGAGACGCCAAAACCGACCTGGGTCACATCCTCGACTTCACCTGCAGGCTGCGATACCTCAAGGTCCCACACCTCACATCCCCATCGTTCAGTTTAGTGCTGTGTGTGACTTTCCTCTCAGGAGCAGACGTGTTGAATGTTCTTACTGGTTTGTGTCTGTGTTGGGCAGATGTCTGGGACCAGAGGCCCGGTAGGAACCAGTAACATCCAGGAGAGCAGCCTCCCCTACGACCTGTCCGTTTTCAAATCACTAGTCCAGATAGAGGTAACTGTCTGACTGCGTCTCTGTCTGTCTCTCCTGGAAATACTTGTGTCTTGTACGTGTAGAATTCCTGTCTCATTCATATCACACACAAACCTCGTGTTTGATAATGAGATGAACCTGCATTTCATAGCATGGGTAGAGTTGTAAACTTAAATTGCAGGAACTAGCAGGCTACCAACCTGAAGGTAAACTTGCTGTGTTGTCCGTCCCGTCTCTAACGGCAAAGTAAAAACACTAACAAGAGACAAATTGACTTCATTATGATAAAACAAATGATACTTAAGGTGATCAGCAGTGATAATTGTCATGATGTAGCTGAGATATCGGTGCTCAGTTTAGTATGTAATCATGTCATGTTCTCCTGAGTATATTCCTGAAACGGATAGTGATGGAGGTTTTATTTGTACTCTTTTAGAAATTCTCCTAAAACCTGCCAATATTTGGGTGATAACGTCCGTTTCTCTCTGTGTTCAGATCAGTGAGGGCAGCTCTGAGCAGATTCGCGGTCTGTCGTCTCTGAGGTCGAGTCTGGCAACTCTGAGTATCCACCACTCCACGGAAACTATGATGGTGAACTACTCATGAATACTTCTCTGTAGTGTTCACGCCGTGTCTTTGTACGTCGTGTACTGATGCATGTTATTTTTGGCCGCCTCCAGTCGATCCTGGTCCCGGAGGCGAGCGAGTTCTCACAGTGGGAGGCCGAGGGGGCCGAGTCTGGCTGTCCCGTCACTGCCGTCATCCCCGTGTGGAGAAACCTGACCACGCTGGACATGAGCCACAACAACATCAGCACCATCGACCGCTCGGTGGTGAGACGCACGCCGAAAAACATAAACACAATCGATAACGGTGTTTAGAAATCAGTGGCTTTATTTTATTTTATTTCCCCACAGTGAAGTCTGTGACTGACTCTTATCTAGTCCATTTCATACAACATCTCAGAGCCACATTATCAAGTTTTTACTTTACTTTACAACAACATAACAAGAAAAATAAATCATGTTTCAACCAACCACCAAAAATGTATGTGAATGAAGGAAAGTTTAGGTTCCACACATCAGTTTCTGTGTGCTGACTCTGCGTTTATTTCTCTGTTGCAGAAACTGATTCCTAAGGTGGAGTTTCTGGATCTGAGCCATAACCAGCTGTCCACAGTGGAAAACCTCCAGGTGTGTGACCGCGTGATGAAGAACATACCAGCTCTGTTCTTCACATCAGTCTCATTTCTAGAGTTGCAGCGAAAGAGAATAGTTTCACATCCTCTACAGATATGTAGTTTGTCATCAACAGTATCACTGAACTAACTGTGCTTTGTTTGCAGCACCTGTACAATCTGGTCCACGTGGATCTGTCCTACAACAGTCTGCTGGTCCTGGAAGCTGCTCACACCCGTCTGGGCAACATCAAGACCCTGAGCCTGGCCGGCAACCAGCTGGACCAGCTGACTGGCCTCACCAAGCTCTACTCGCTGGTCAACCTGGACCTCAGCCACAACCAGCTGGCCCAGGTAATCACTCAGCGGTCAAAGTGACGTAAATACTTTCTTTGTATACTTTATTGTGCAACAGGAATGTTTGCTTCATAGTTTTTGTTTTGCATGAAAAGAAAGGAACATTAGAGGTTTTCTAACGGGACTCTGGCGCTCTGAAACGCCACCGCTTCTGTCCTCGGGGGCGCCAAAATCAACACAATACATATAAAGTTCCTTGTAGTAACTTTAAATGATCAACCTTTACGTGTAATTGATCATCCACATTAATTACGCCAAAGGTCCTCAGTCATCCAACATCTTTCTCTCTCCTCATTTTCTGTCACCTCTCTCCTTTTGATTCTCCTGTACACACTTAGTAAACACAACCTAAAGACTGACACAGCTCATGTGAGAAGTCCAGACTTTAACGAGGCTGACTTGTGTTGTTTGTGACTTGGTGTGTGTTTGTTTTACAGTTGGAGGAGATCAGGAACATCGGATCTCTGCCATGTCTAGAGAAACTCAACCTGTCCAATAACCCCATGTGCATCATCCCAGACTACAGAACCAAAGTGCTGACCCAGTTTGGAGACCGTGCAGCAGAGGTACACCGTTAATATTACTACTGTACAAGTACTACTTCTACTACTACTACTACAGCACCAAAAGTTTTTTCTTGCTTTACTGTTGCTTGTACGGCTGTTTTTACTACAGCACAGGTAAACGACCACCACACTGCTTCTCTCTCTGTATCTACTGCTGCTAATGTTAAAGGGATAGTTCAGAGGTTGTGTGAGGTACTTATTCAGAGGTTGTGTAGTACTTACAGTAGATGAACTTGTAGAAACGGACAGAAGTACCAGCACAGGGAGCAAAACAATGTACTGCTGCTTCCTGTGGTGTCTAAATGATGTTTGGCCTCTGCCCCATCACAGCAGTACATTGCCTTGCTCCTATGAAGGTGCTTCTACAAACTGCCGACCGCCGTCTGCTGTAGTTGATACACCGACTATGAATAAATACCTCTTAAAACCCCACTTCAAAACATCTTAACTTTCCTTTTAACATTACTGTCCCTACAAGTACCACTACTGCTGCTACAAAAGGATCTGCTCATACTTCTACTGGCAGTACTTCTAGTGTACCAATATTACTGCTGCCAACTGTTTATGCTACTTCAGCTATTGCTATTAATACTGTTGATTTGACACGTTTTTTAAATTTTTTGTATCCTCGTCTCTGCGTGTTCAGGTTTGTCTGGACGGTACAGTGACGACAGAGAAGGAGCTGGACACGGTGGAAGTGTTGAAAGCCATTCAGAAAGCCAAAGAAGTCAAAGACAGGATGAGCAGCGGCGACAAGAAGGTAAGATCATCCAGCAGGAGGCAGCATCAGACCGGCTCTTATTTATACTTTTACCACAGTTATGTTGACCGACAGTTTGCAGCCAAAAGAATATTAAATGGCTTAGGAAGGTTAATAGTTCAAATAATTAATATTTTCTTATATATGGAGTGTAAATAAGTAATTTATGAATCTCTTCAGAAGACATTAACATGCTTTTGAACTTTAATGAGTCAAACTCAAAACATTGTTGCATCTTTCTTAGTAATCTGTAATGATATCGTCCAGATGAATTAACACCTTCTGTAGATGTTTTATAATTCTAACCTGATTAGAGACCAATCAGAGATCACCACAATGAGATGTGACTAATAATGAAGTTAATTGCTAACAGATCTCTGGAGATTGAACTCTGTCATTCGCTACAGCAGCCGTCCTGTGTTAACATACATGAGTAATACATGAGTGTAATGACACAACCTGCACATCAGCAGCAGAGTTCAGATGTAATACAATTAGAGACATTAAATCAGAGAGTCATGATTAGGTGTGTGAGGTTGTAGTCTGAGGGTAAAGTTTGTGAAATATTAGAGTTTTCAGTTGTGAATTTTACTGTAAATGTGTAGAACATATTTCGTGGATCTTTTTGTTTTTTGTGTGACAATAGTTTTAGTTTTTTACATTTTTTTCGATGTGAACATCCTAAAATATTCGTGGCCAACTGTTTCCTTCTGCAGAGGAATCCTGTAAGTTTTCTGTTTGTTGGTATTTTCAAATGTGTCCAAGATTACTTCCTGTTTGCGTGTCCATCCTTCAGAAGTGTGAACATCCATTTTAACGTTTAAAGAGTGACAACCTGTTTAGGAAAATTACTTTGCAAAGGATCATTACTGAGCGTGTTCTTGTACATAGAGTCTGACGGCCATGCAGAGTAAACAACTTGAATTAAAGTATTTAAGCTGCATCTTTGAAGCAGGATGTTTAAAACTAAAATTGAACTCCTGCTGAAGGCTGGAGGTCCTGAACACAAACCTTTACGAGGTCCTCCTGCAGACAGTAACTGTGGTCCACAAATATTCTCAAAGGTTTTCACCAAAGCAAAATATTGATTACAGCTTGTTCACAGATTTCTGCACATTTGCAGATTAAAAAGTTATCTTTGAACTTTCAGAACAAAGCTTTAGTTCTTAAACTTCATAGTTTACTTTAAACATTATTAACACAACCTCATACATATACAGTAATTATACAACTACAGCAGTGCTACTGGACCATCTCAGTAGAACTGACGTTTCTCTGCTGCTGATGGAGCAGCTGCAGGTTCCATGTGATCTGATCCACCGCTGCTCTCTGAAGGCTTCCCTCTCTGTCCTCTCGTCAGATCAGTGAGGAGACCAAGCTGTCTGCTGCTGCTGCACCTCCTCACCTCTCCTCTCCCCCCTCTTCTTCCTCCTGCTGCTCGTCTGCTGTTGCTCCGCCTGCTGTCTCTTCTTCCTCCTCCTCTTCTTCCTCCTCCTCTTCCTGTCCAGCCCACCAGGCTGCCTGCCCCAGCCAAGGTAATCATGTATGTATCAGGCTGTGCAGAGCTGAGGGAGGGGGGTTGTTTTTTAAATTTATTTATGCTGTCAGGCAGCAGACAGACGAGTACGTTTCAACGGCTGATTCCCAAAAACGACAGCTGACTGAACTCACTGGGGCAGCAACTAGTGATCATTATCAATTAATCTGCCAGTTGTGTAGTCAGTAGAATGTCTCTTTAGCCGATGAAGCTAACCTGCTGCTGTCACTGCTCATGTAGAACGTCTTGTTTTAAACCAGATCTCCTCGGCTTTATACTTCCTGTTGTAGTCGCTTCACTTTCTGATCTGACGGAGAAGAAAACAGTTTTTTTTTTTTTTTTCATAGTTTTTAAAATCCTGATCAGTTGCTTCATAAGTTAAAACTCCTCCTGTCTTATAAATGTGTACTAAGTCTACATGTATTCATCACACAGGTTGCACCATTAATCCTGACACTTAGCTGTAGTTATATTTCCCCAAATAAACTGTCTGATTGGAGAATCAGCCGAGCCAATTAGGGCTTTATAGGTATTATATTATAAATGTTTTTCTGGCATTACAGTATATATATATATATATATATATATATATATATATATATATATATATAAAAAACACAACCACCATGTACATTTAGTCCGATTATCGGACTACAAGTCGAGCCAACTGCTGCTTCACTGACTGATGACTAAATAACGAACGGATGACTGATTCACTGATGTTTGGCTGGAGGTTGTGTGACACCCTGCTGATTCTCACTAACCTCCTTCTGTGACACTAATATTTGTTCTGGCTTAGTAAAGGCTGCATGTAAATGTCAGAATCTAAACCGTAAGAACCAAATGCATGTCTGACTGTTTTATGCACGTCCAGTGAAACGGGGTTTGACTGTTTTTGGTTGTTTATTTATTGAGATGTTTGAAATTTGTTTCTGATTTAAACTCTGAATAATATATTTCTGTCAGAAATGCATGACTGCATAAGTATGTTTTCATCTAAAGCCCAGTGCATCAATGATTGTTGATCATTTTTAGGGTTGCAATTATTATTTTCACAGTGAATAAATCGGCTGATTTATTTCTTGAACATTTGATTCATTATTTAGTCTGTAAATAGACTGTATGTAAGAGGTGATGGTAGTCAACTTGACGTCATTCATTGGTTTGTAATCTGCGGTTTTGAAGCCTTGACTTCTTTTGTAACCGGAGGGGTCGCCCCCTGATGGCCAGTAGAGAGAATGCAAGTTTAAGACACTTTAGCGTTTGCTTCACTGTTCAGCCTGTGTGTGTGTGTGTGTGTGTGTGTGTGTGTGTGTGTGTGTGTGTGTGTAAAACTGTGAAAAAAAAAACAACAACCAACAGTCTAAAACTCAAAGATATTTAGTTAACTTATGTTCAAACAAAGAAAAGCATCAGTTATTCATAATTAAGAAGCTGCAGCCATCAAATAATTGCCTTGTTCGGATCACAATTTGGTTTGATTGAGTTAAAACGTACTCTGCTCATAAATACTCTTATTTAAAGACATCAAGCTGTCAATCAGCAGATCGAGCTCCTCGGCTCACGGCCTCACCGATCTGTTTGGTTTCCTGTTTCAGAAGTGACGAGCAGACAAGAAGACGCAGTCCCCCACAGTGTTCTCCCTCCTGTGAACGCTGCTCCTCCCCCCGCGAGCTTTAACACTAACACACACCTCCTGTCTGCTGACCCTGCCCAGGTGAGACACACCTGTAACTGTTTATCGTTGAACAAAATGTCTTGATACAAAAATCAAAATATATTAATTGTAAAGAATGTTTGTCTTCGCTGTGATCTAATGTTGCTTCATGTGTTTGTCTGCAGGTACAACAAGCTGCTGTCCGTCTGTCTGAACACACACTCTGTGGAGCTCCTACAAGTACAATTACTACCAATACTACAAATGACATCTGGTCAGTTTCAAATTACATTATTTAAATTAACTGTTAGATCTCTCTTCGCTTTTCAACGTTTTGCTAAATGACGCCAATATTATACTGCCTTCCCTGCTTTAAAGTAAAGAGAACTTGTTTATTGATCTTTAAAGACTTTTATTGCTGTTAATCTACCGTCAGAGAAACTGAACTTTTTGAGGCAGACTTTTAATGTGAAGCACAAGAAGTGTGGAGTCTCATCAGGTTGAGTATTGACAATATCCTAAAACAGAGAAAGTATTTGTGGTGAAAAGACAAACGGAGAGCAGCACAGTATTGAGTATTACACGATTCTGTACATTGTAATGAATTTATCAAGAGTACTGAGGGTACTGGGAAAACTTTAAATCAACTTTATTGACCTACAAGAGTAAAGCAAAAGAACGAAAAACAGAAACATTAAATGTAATGATGTGGTGCAGTTGGTTAAATAATGGCAAGGTGTGTTTATGAGCTGTTAGGACGACTGAAGCGATTAAATTATGTCCTATTCATGACATCATAGAAGGTATAAAACGATCTCCCTCCCTGTCGTTTTCTCCTCCAGCTGTGTCTGCTGCTGTTCCTCCTCAAGACCACTTGAAACCACGTGCTTCTCCTGCAGCACGGCCTCGTTTCCTCTGCTTCCTTCTCACCTGCTCTCCCTCTCCTCCTCCAACAAAGACTTCATTACCCAGCTCTCCCAGCGTCTCGGCTCCACCCTGAAGGAGCAGAAGAGGGAGACGGAGGAGGAGGAGGAGAGGGAGGAAGAGAATAGGTCTGAATCCAGAGAGGTTCAGTCCCATGTGGAGGACACCGAGGTGGAAGGTCCAAGGTAATTTAACCAGCAACCTTCTCTCACTGGTTTTGATGACTTTCAGACGTCCCCACTGGTTTCTGGGATTCCCGGTGGGTTCTTAGAGCCCTCAAAATTCCCACTGGTCTCTGGGATCTCCTAAAATTCAGACCTGGTCCCTGAGATCCCTTAAAAACTGATCTCTAAAAAGTCCCCTGATTCTGAGATCCCATAAGATTCACACAGATTTTGTGGATTATAGTTTTTAGCTTTGCATAATATTGAAAGTGTATAAAAAGTACCAAAACATAATTCCTGATTCCTCCACTGTTTGATGCTCATTGTTCTAGTCCAGGCTCCGGGGACGGATACTTCGAGATGGGTCTGGATGACTCCGTTGAGGAGTCGGTCTGCTCCTCTTCTTCCACGTCGCTCGCCGTTCCTTCTGCAGAGGAGCCCGGTGGCCGCCAGGGGGAGCAGCGTGGCGGTGAGGAGGAGGAGCTGCAGGTCAGCAGGGTTCTGTGGTGCTACTGTCTTCAGGTAAAGGAGGAGGTGGAGCAGAAGGAGGTGTGCCTGGTGCTGACAGACCGGCGGTTGGGCCTGCTGTACCTGTCGGATGATTTCATCAATCAGGACGCAGGTAAAGACACAATCAGCCTCAGTTGTTTTTCATTCATTAATTTTTTGATGCACATCTGGGATTGATTGAATGTACCTGAGTTCATAATGTTGTAGGATTATTATGTTTGCTGGATAAGTCATCCACTTAAATAATCATCTTCCTGATGAAGAGAAAATACATCTGCAACTATTTTATATCACTTTAATTTGCAATTAATTGTTTTTTCTAGCAAAAATGCAAAACATTCCCTAGTTTCATCTTTTTAAATGTGAGGACTTGATGCAGTGAACTGAACATCTTTAGGGTTTAGACAAAACCAGCAATGTCAAGATTGCTTGCAAGATCTAGAAAATAATAATGACTTTTTTGCAGCTCTTGTTTACAGTAAATGACATGATGTTTGGTGGATTTGTTGCATAATTATTTTTGAAGTATTTAGAGCGATCTCTTGTCCTCAGACCAGGAGCAGAGTGTGGAGGAGGTGCTGTCCAGCCTACAGGTGGACCTCCTGCTGCCGTACTCCCAGCTCCTTCTCTCCTGTAGCGCCGACCTCTCTGACTCCTGCCTCGCCTTTGGCCTCCAGGCCGGTCCGACCCGCTGGTACGTCTTCTCAGAGGCCGAGGAGCTCCGGCAGACCAGGACCGAGCTGACGGTGCTGATCCAGGTCAGAGAGACTCCCTACAAATATCAGCTTCTAAAATTAAACTTTTCAGTTTTGATGACATTTGCAGGTATTTTTTTCTGTATCTTAGATGTTAAAACAAATGTGTTTTTTAAGTATAACAGCTTTCTCCCAGTAGGGGGCAGTGCAGTTCAGTACTTTGACATTTAATTTGCAGACATCTCATGTCTCGAGTATTTTTATTATTTACAACAGGGTTGTTTATTGATTAGGTTTACTGATTTATAAAAAATTAAACACAGTAAAAATCTGTTCAATTATATTTTTCAGTCTTGATGACATCAGCAGGTATTTCTAAGGTGTTTAAACAAATGCTGTTTTAAATATCACAGCTTTCTGCCAGTACAGTTCAGAACTTTGAAATGTAAATTATTACGTAGAAACATAAGCTGCATCAACACGGGTATCCCGTGTGCAGCTTGAACCAGGCTGGAGTTTGTTGTGTCAACACCTGGAAATCACAAACCTTCTCACTTGTGTTTCCAGGCTGCGAAGTCTCAGACTGACCCGGAGCCCCACAACACTGCTCAGCTCTTCCCCCGATCGCTCGTCAACTCCTGGGAGCTGGAGGAGAGTCAGGGAGCCCAGGGAGGCTATCCTGCCTTCCTCCTTCTCTCCTCCTCCTCCTCTTCCTCTTCCTCTGCCCTGGACACCCACCCGCTCCTGTCGGATATCCTCTCTCAAAGAGAGGACTCCAGCCTCCCCTCTCTCCTCTTCCTCACCCACCGACACCTCTGGGTGCTGAAGATGGACTTCAGAGAGCTGGCAGAAAGAGAGAGGAGGAGCGCTGACCTTCATCACTCCTCCTCCTCTTCCTCCTCCTCCTCCTCCTCCTCTTGGTGCAGGCTGGTCCGTGTGCCCCTCGGCTCCGTGGTGCTTCACCCCAGAGAGAGAGCTTCTCAGGTCGGGGACAGAACCAGCAGCACCTCCTGCCCCGACCCAAAGCACCACCACAGGTAGAGCGGCTGTGATTGGACGAATGGATGTTCTAACTTTATAGTCCGTAGATGTTTTGTTTGTAATGTAGTTTTGCCAAACGGATAATTACAGACGACCACAGCATCAAGTTTGTGTATCTTGGTTTAACCATTTTTTAGCGAGCTAAGTAACTAGTGTTAGTATATTTAGTGATAAGTAGTATGATTCGACAGATTTTAAATTTTAACATACATTTTATGTTCTCATTAATGTTTGCGCTGTTCTTTAGTTTCCTTGCTCTTAAATATTATCTGTATTTTCACCACCAGGAGGAGTCACACTGTGGAGCTGCTGCTGGGCGGTCAGAGGCTGCTGCTGCTCTTCCCTCTGGCCCAGAACAGGAGCCCCTTCCTGGGGCTGCTGAGCCAGAGGAGAGCCTCTCTGGAGGGGCTGAAGATGGTGGCCCTGGCCCAGCCCTGCAGGTCCTGTCCACAGCAAGGTGAAGACAAACCACCTGCTCACACACTCGCACCAAGAAGGGAGATTTTCCTCAGCCATATTTCAGCTGGTTCATTTAGTTAAACCTGGTTTCTTCTCCCAGTTTGTCTGACGCGTCACCTCTTTGTGGGTTTGTTCTCAGGCTGTCACAGATCCAGAGACCAGTGCTGCTGTTCCAGTTCGGGGACATCAAACAGCACCAGCAGGTAGACTTCTGAAGCACTTCTGTGTACTCCATCATAGATTACTTTCTCTACATGTAATTATTCCTCTGCATTTACAGCTGCATGCCAGTATCACACTTATACTTTGATTAAAGCCACACGGTGTGTCCCAGTTTCATACTGTTCTAATTCTGTAAACACAATATACCAATCTTATCTGGGCACTCATTTATCAGTGAGTTTATGAGACGTTTATTTATATAACACAAACCATGATGCAGAGACAATGCTGATGGGCGTCAATGAAGCTTAATTTCACTGCACTTAATCACAAGAATTGGATGTTAGCTGATAAGTAATAAGAAGCATCAGAGATACTTTTGAGGTAATATACTTTATTTTATATAATGTAGTTTATTTCTTGCAATGTTAAATGTCCCGCTCGGTACATAAATTACAGCAATAAACCATAAAGCCGGATTTGCATGTTTTTATCTGATGTACATCATCAGGGAGGACAGTGTTGCATCCACTTTTCCCCCCGCGTCTCGTGAGAGATGACTTATTGCTGCTGTTGATATTTTTTTTCTTTCCTCCTCTTCCTCAGCTGGGACTCCTCCAGCCTCCAGGTGGAGGAGAACCAGCCATCCCCCCACCTCACGCCAGGTCTCTCCCCAGGACTGAAGCTACTGGCTGGGCTCGGAGAACAGCAGCTTCTGACCTACTTCCACAGATATATAGCAGTGGTAGGACACGCACGCACACACACACACACACATACAGTTGTGTTCCTTTGCTTCCCGAACCTGTGTGTCCAAGGACAGAAGGATGTGAAGCAGCTGTTTGACTGTTAGTCATCTAATGCTGTATTTCATCAGAGACTCATCAGATTTTAGAGAATAATCTTCTTACTGCCGAGTGTTTTCCAGAGTAAACTTATAGTAAATCTTTCAGTTTAAGATTGTAATGTTTGTTTACAACTGACAATTATTTATTATCGATTGATATACTGACTATTTTTTCGATTCATTTCTCTGGAATGTCAGGAAATGGTATAAAAAGTGTTGATCACAAATTTCCAGAGCCTACGGTGACATTGTAAAATGTCAGCCAGTGAAAAACCCAGAGTCGGTTTATTATTATTATTATTATTATTATTATTATTATTATTATAGAGACCAAATAAAAAAAACGGCTAAAATTACTTAAAGGTGCTCAATACAAAACGCTCAGAGCAAAGCTAGTGCATATCGTATGGAGAACCTTTAAATGAAGCCCAGTTGGTTATTTTTCTGTCCCAGTTCTTAATGAGACGCATCTTATGCCGTCTTGTTTGAATTCCAATTTACTTTTTGTTGCGTCAGTCTGAGGCGGAGGAGGTGAGACAGGTCCTGTGGCTGTCTGTGGTTCTCTACAAGTCTCCGGAGTCTGAGCTCACCTGCTGTCTGCTGCTCTCCACCGATACAATCTACTTCCTGTTGGAAGACTCCACCTCCACACTCGGTCATCACTCAGGTAGGATGATGGCACGTGATTGGTTCAGTCAGAGTGAGAACAGATTACATTTACCGGTAATAGAAATTATATTAATATCCAAACTCTGTAAAAACCTTCCACTCTAATATGTCAACAAAATGAAGCAAGGATTTTAAACCTGGCTTCATTAAATGTTCAGATTTCCGTTTGGGAAATTAAAGCAAGTTAGCAAATATTTAATAAGATAACACCTCATTTATATATTAAAACAGACAATTTCAGAAATTTTTATGAAATTAACTTACTGGCGTAGTTTCATGGTGATATCTATTAGTTAAACGTTTTTTAAAATAACTTGACTTACCTCTGGTACTACATGTACTACCATGTACTAAAACTCTCAGCTCTATAAATCAGTTGAAGTTTGCATGTTTTGCAAAAAGTATTTTATCCAATCTTTTTAGATTTAGGTAACGAATGCGTTTATGTAAATATGTGCATATGTTTATAATATTATTTTCACTTTCTTTGGGTTACATAATCACATTAAAATAGTTTTACCTTTTTATGTTAAGAGTTATGCTAAGCTAATGGGGATCCACATAAATACAGTTAACTTTTTTGTGCCTCTAACATTGTACAGAGAACAGCAGCAAAGAGGCACAACTGTCTCTGTAGACTTTCTTCTTTGTTAAATCTCTTCTTTTCTCTGTCTGTCGCTCAGTGTTGGACACAATGGACTCTGGAGATGTGGACGTCTGTCTGTGCTGCTGTCTGTCCATCAGACTGTCTGACCTGCTGTCTGTCAACGTGGGACTGTTCGACCAGTACTTCAGAGTTGTAGGTCAGTGGATGTACACGCTCCTTGTCTCCAGTGTTTGCAGGGCTCATAAATATTTATACCAAACTGCTGCTCTATGCTGATTTTACTCTGTCACCCTCTAACCGTGCATCCTCTCTCTCTCTCTTTTTGTGTTTGCAGGTCGTTCAGCCGATCACATCGTGTGCTGTCTCAGCCGGGACAGTTATGGGACGGGCGTCTTCCTTCAGGAGCTCATGTCGGCTCTCAGTCTGCAGCAGCAGCTTCCTCCTCCAGAGCCGTCAGATCAGGACTTCTACTCCCAGTTCACCAACACAAACACAGGTAACCATGCTGGGAGCCTCAGAGGGAATTTTATTATCTGTTTTTGACATCAAATCCTACCTGATTGCTTTGCGATCATCCATTAAAATGTCTGTTGCCAGAACACATACAAATCTGTAATGGGAACAATATAAAGTGAAGGAGATTACAGATCCAATGTGTTCACCGACCAGGGCCCAACATCCCAACATCCATCCAGAAAAAACATTCAGAATAAAACATGATAGATCATGTTTAACAGTGTTTATTTAAATGGGAAATATACATAAATTAAAACAGAAGAACCTACAAATTAGTCAAACTATAGTCCAGTACTCAGGGACCAGAGAGAGAACAGAGAGTCCTTAAATAATAATAACAAAGGTGATGACACTATCCAAAAAAAAAAGCTGCCAGGTGACAACGAAGCATACAGCATCGCCAGAGCGAGACTGAAAGCTGGCATCAAGGAGGCTCAAGAGAGACTGGTGACAGCTCCACACCAACAACACTAAAGATATGTGGCAGGAGATCCAGAGTGTCCCCATCATGTGTGAGGCCACGTCGCCAGATGAGCTGAACACCTTTTTATGCTCTCTTTTAATCTCTTAACAAAGAGTCACCTGTCAGGTGTGCCCCGCCTCCAGAGGACCGGCCACTCTCGGTATCTACAGCGGATGAGAGGAAAACCCTGATGAGAGTGAGTATGAGTAGAGCTGCTGGGCCCGATAACATCCCTGGTCGTGTACTAAGAACATGTGCCAACCAGCTAACAGATGTCATCACTGATATGTTCAACATGTCACTGTCAAGGAGAGAGTACACACCTGCTTCAAGACAGCCCCCATCGCCTGGTAGCTAAAGATTCTGCAGTGGATGACAGATCACAGAGGATGCTGTCTCCACGGCCTCCACTCAGCCCTCACATATCTTGAAAATAACACCTACATCAGAATGTTGTCTGTCGATTTCAGCTCAGCCTTCAACACAATATCCCACATGCAACTGGTTATTAGACTTTCTCACAAACAGACCCCAAGCAGTTTGGATGTGTCAGCTGTACCTTCTCTTCTCTGGTGTTGAACACCGGAGCTCCCCAGGGCTGTGTGTGGTTCTCAAGAGACCAACCTGCTACTCAACACCACTGAAACCAAGGAGCTGACTGTTGATTTGTGCGTGATCGTAGCCATTTGTGGAGGCTCGCTCCCACATTGTTTTGCTCAAATATAAACAAAGTTTGACCTGGATGTTTAGCTGAACATGATGCCAGATGTGATTTTTGTCTACCCCTGCAGGTAAGATGCAGAACTACGAGTTGGTCCACAGCAGCAGGGTGAAGTTCATTTATCCCAGTGAGGAGGAGATGGGAGACCTGACCTTCATCGTGGCAGAGAGGAAGGCTCCGGCCAGCGCAGCATGTTCATCCTCGCGCTCCTTCAACGTCCTGCTGTATCTGCTGGTCTTCCAGGTAAGGAGCTTCTTCTTTTCGAATGTGTGATTTTATGGGAGTTATCGTGCTTTTAACTATTTCCAGACGAGCAACAGTGTATCCATCCGCACAGTGCTTCTGTGCATTTTCTCCGGCTTCAGCGCAGGTTGCCAGATATGATTGATGATTCATAGGTTTTGGTTTTGGTCTCTGTAAAGGCACAATGTGGCCAAACCTGCCGACCTCGGTGTGACTTCAGGAAGCTGCACAAAGTCATTGTTGTTCTAAAAATAGCACATAACTTTCTGAAGACAGATTTCTTATTGTGTATAGTGTGCATTAAATAAACAAGATAAGAGTTAATGAGCTTTAGGGGCATTAGTAGGTGTATTTTTGAAATTTGAACAGAGCTTATTTCTCAAATTGTGGAACTATTCATTAAAAATTATTTATATTTTAATATCACTTGAACGTTTAACATCTTGGTTATCATCGCAGCTGAATGATAATGTTGCTCCGTATCGGCTGAGTGTGTAAATGAGCCATTGTTTGGTTCAACGTTCAAAGGGTTCATTTTACAACAGGGTTGCGCAACGAAATGCTGTTTGTACTTCCACTTTGCTTCATAAGAAAAACACAAAAAAAGAATACATGTGGTGTTTGGAGGATGAATTTAGTTGTTTTACAGCCTGAGGAAGAAGCTGCTCTAAAGTCTCCAGGAAGAAGATGTGTGATGACCATGAACTGTTAACTTGCTCCATCTCAGCTCCATTGATATAGACAGAAGTGTGTGTCCTCGCCTCCTTTTTTTCTAAAATGAACAATCAGGTCCTTCGTTGTACTGAGGTAGGTAAGTGTTGTTATTTACAAGACGCGTGAGAGCAGTGGAGACGGCCTCCTCTGTTGGGTTTGCTATTTTAAACCTAATTATAAAATAATAATAATAATTTCCTTCAGGTCCAAATCCCCGGCAGTCTGCCCAGCCAAGGCTCCACTCTCTCAGGCCACTCCTCTGGTTCTGGCTCTGGTCCGTCTCCGGTACTCCAGCCCAGGACTTTGATCCTGACCAGCACCGACGTGTTCCTGTTGGACGAGGACTACGTCAGCTATCCTCTGCCTGATTTTGCCAAAGAACCCCCCTCCAGGTGAGCACACTGGAAGCCCTGCCCTCCTTTACCACAACCTTTAAAAACGTTACAGGGGAGTCACTTAAGAGCAGAATGTTTCACAGAGACCTTCAGGTTCGGGAGGGCGACAAACATTAAACAGTAAAATCAGTGAAACACGTCGTCTCCCCTGAACTTGGGAGAAAGCTTAAAAAAAAAAAAACCTGTTCCTTCATGTTTGTGCTTGTCTGCTGCAGGAAAAGAGGAAGAAGAGTAGACACCGACTGAAATAGTGCGTGTGACGTGTACAGGGAACATGGGGCAAAGCAGCGGAAACCAATATTCACTGAAGCCTAAAAACACTAATCAGTCATTGTGAGGAGGAACAGGACAATGAATGAGCAAGGAATGAAAAACTCAAGTGTCATTATTCTCATAATCAGACTTAATTGCCATTTAATTTCATTTTTCAGTCTGACATCGTGTTCATGTTCTCTGGTTAGAGCTAAACAAGAAAAACAATCGGCGGCGGTAACGAATCTGATCCGTTTGTGTCGTATCTGTTTGCTTGAAGCGTATCTCGTTGATGAAAAAGAAACGTGTTGATTTATACGTTTTTAGTTCAGTAAGTCGACCTGTATGGTTGTGATCATTTCATCCAAATTCTTTGCAAACCATTCCCCTCCTTTCTTAATCCTGCCTACAAAGATCCAATGTGCTCAGTGGTTTTTCCAACTACCAGACCTATTTTAATCAATATTTGTCGTTGTATTACAGCAGGTAAATATGAACCAGATTTAAAACAGACCTCTTTTTTTTTTTTTTTATCACCCCATAAACAAAACTATCGAAAAATTCTAAATGCAGCCCTTCAGAGATCCAGCTGAGAGGAATGTTGCAGAGACAGAAGCAGCAACAGTTCTTCTCAGATCTGCTGCGTCGCTCTCTCTTAGTGCGGAAAACACATTGAAGCTGCTGGATGCTGTTTGTTTGTGTTGCTCTGTAGTTTACTGACTTTCTATTTCGTTCACGAGGAGACCGCTTTAACTGAGTAAACATCCACAACTGATTGAGCCCGATAGCGCTTCAAACAGCTGATGCATATCTATATGAAAAATGTGGCTCGATCAGCCTTCATCCCCAATAATAGACATAAACATGACGATGAAAAAGCACCAGGATCTTGAGTTGAGATTAGAATGATTTGTGATGTTTACTCTTTAAAGCGTCTATGATCTATATTTTTATAATGATGTATCAAACTGACATTGTGAAAGGAGTCTCTCATTTAGCAGTATGGTAGTAGGCATCCTCCTCATCTTCGTCTTCCCCTTCATGTCCTCCTGCAGGGAGCGGTACCAGCTGCGTGAGGCTCGGAGGATCCGGGACCTGGACCGGGTCCTGCTGGGGTACCAGACTTACCCTCAGGCTCTGACCCTGGTGTTCGATGACCTGCCCGGCCCCGACCTGCTCTGCCACCTCACCATGGACCACTTCGCCGCCGCGGGGGGGGGGGGAGGAGGCCCCGCCCGGAGGGGGCGGAGCCAGCAGCGGCGCGGAGGGCGAGGTCCAGTGGTGCGTCTTCGTCCCGGGAGCCGACAGCAGAGAGAGGCTGATCTCGCTCCTCGCCCGCCAGTGGGAGGCGCTGTGCAGCCGGGAGCTTCCTGTGGAGCTCACGGGCTGAGTGGTGGACGGACGGACGGACAGACGGGTGACTGTTCAGCACTTTGGTCGGTCGTTGGCGGGTGGAGTGATCGTATGACGGGGGGGATAATTTACACACATGGATTCAGGGCTCGGAATGCTGTTCGAAGGCCTCAATGTGCTTCAAACCAAGTAGTTTGTGAGATGTGATGACTCAGTCAAATTAAGATAAAGATGCACACGTTCATTCATGTCTCTTTACTTGAAGGCATTCATAGCTTGTTCACGTGAAAAGTGACAGAAATGGTTTGTGTGAAGAATGAAGAGAGAGAGGCCAGATGTGTGGAGACACCTCCACACATCTGGCCAATCACTGCGTAAAGTGGGCGTGGCCATAGGTTTCAGACGCTGTTAGACGATCGGACACTTGGTTTGAAGCATTCCGGGGCCCTTTAGTTGTACGTCGATTGAAAGGAATGTGGCTTCGCCCACACGTTTAGTGTCTGCTCTAAAAAACAGTTGGTCTCTACAGACACCAGACTGCCATTACAGACCTGTGACCTCACACTGAGCCGAAATGATGGGAGTTTCTAGCACAACTTCACTTTCTTGCAAAGTGTCTCTTACGAAGAAGATTTACAGATTCGTTAGAGGACTTTACTCACGACCAGAAGACAGACTGTTGTTGCACAGCAGGGGGCGCTGCAGACAGTCCACAGGAGTTATACTAGTTTTTAAATCAACATTACATTAAAAGAACAGTTTGTCATTTCTGGTTAAATCCTCTTGTTCTCTGTCCTCTCCAGAGTCGTATCAGTTTCATCTCTGTGTGTTCTGCACAAATATAATTGCAGGGCGTGTTAGCCTAGCTTAGCACAAAGACTGGAAGCATGGGGAAACTGCTAGCCTAGCTTCATCAAAAGCGGAAAAACACAAATCCACCTTCCAACAACTCCAAAGCTGTCTGATTTACATGTTGTTATTTATGTTAAGTTGCTCTTAAAACCAAAAATCATTTTTTTGTTTGCACATTTGGATTCTGGTTGAGGTGACAAGAGGATATCCAAAAATGTTCGACTGTTTTAAGTAGCGCGCGCACACACACACACCGCTGCTCGGCACATACTGCTCTCTGAACATTTTATTCCTTGCACATTGTAATTAATGAAGCAGTATTATTGAACTGTATATTGAAGCTTTTTATTAATATTATATTAATATAAGTATGTTTTGGGACAGATGGATGTTTTCCATCCTGAAGCAGATTTTGTACTAAACACTTAAGTTCTGATGAAATTTCCAAAAATAACTTGTCATATTAAACATTATTATCATTGAGTGTTATTTTTTTTTTTATACATTTTTTAATGTTTTATTTCATCGTATGTTGTGTTTTTCATACATTATTGTTGACAAATGGGAAGCCAGACAGTGTTGTACCCCCCCCCCCCCCCACACACACACACACACACACACCTCTCACCACTATTGTTTACGTTACATGTTTTCGTCTTGCTCACGGGGAATGCCACTGAATTAAAGTGAAAAATGAAAACTAAACGTGTAACAATCCTGTTTGGTGTCGCGACAGCAGTTTTGATTCTTCAAAAAATCAGCCGAGTTCAACCGCAGTCTGCACGCTGTTCAGCTGATGCAGCAATTTAACCAGAAAAGTCTGACCATTGAGCCGACAAGATACGAGTCGCTCCCTGTTTCCAACGAAAACTGATGCCATGAAGCATGAACGGTCACTGCAAAAATAACTTTTATGATGTATTACAAAGTCTTGAAATCTTAGTGTCTTACAACAAGTGTCAAAATGTGCTGATTTTGAGTTTATTCCCCATTTCATTACAAATTGTCTTTTTTTTTTTTTCTTTGTTTTGCAGGGATCAGCAATATTATTTATTACCTTGTGATTGTCGCCATAAAAAAAGGAAATTATTGCAGTCGTGACAACTTTTCAGACTTAAACGTAGACGTAATATAAACCTCTGGGTAGGGATTTAGCTTCTGATAAGTCTTCAAACTCATGGATAAGTTAGCAGACGTTCAGTTGACCCGAAACACTGCAAGGCAATTCAAAGGGCTTTACATAATACATAAAAGGCATATCAATTTAATAGAAGTTAGAAAGGGTAAAATATAATAAATGTGTATAGAACAGAAAATAAAATGTCAGTGCAGTGCAACATGAATAAATAGTCCCAAACTTTAATAAAAGGAAGTGGCAGAAGAGCAGTTAAAGCCCTGATTTAAAGAAACGAGAGTTGCAGACGAACATGAAATAAAATGTGGAAGTCCATTTTGAGTAAAAGATCAATAATTCGACTTTGTATTAAAACTGTCTGCCGTGTCTTGATGAACTGGAGGATTTTACCAACCTTTTTTACATTCAGTTAAAACCTTTTAGCTTGATACCAGGATTTTAAGACTTTATCCTTTTAGGCCAATTGAATTGAGGATTCACAATTCTCCACCACAACATATCCCTGGCAAGGTGGAGAGGTCTTTGAAACAGGATTCAGACCTTATTGTTGTGATGTGAAACACTTATTTTTATGGGTTTGTAATTAAAATAAAGAAAATTCCTGGAAAGACCTGTGTAATTTGGCATTAATTATAGGGAAGTTTCAGTTCCTATTTAGTGAGAAATTGGGGATTGTTGGGGACTTTTGACTCATAACCTCAGTATTTTCAAACTGTTTGTTTTCCAAAGCACAAAGAACATTAAAACATAGAAAAAAAAAGACAAAAAGTCCCCGTCAGCAGTTCATCACCCTCAACGCTCAGCGAGATTTTGATGACTTGGCGGTTCAGCAGCACGAAACACACCGCCACCTTTCAACTCCTTCAACTTCCTCTATTTCCTGTCTGTCGGAGCCGCTCATCATTAAATTCGGCTGATTTCCTTTTGAAGGGACACTTAAACAGACCGAGGGCAGAGATACTGTACGAGGAAGTGTGATCAGCAGAACTGGCGGACTGACCTCTTATTGGCATGTTCTGGGTGCCAGTAGGTCAATCGACCAATACGAAAACATTCATGTTCCAGGCTATAATGTTGTAATAAAGAAACTAATTCAGCTGTCTGAAACTTCATCACATGGAGAGATTGGATCCAAACAGGATTTGTGTTTGGAACAAAGAGACCGTGTGCCAAGATGACACGACGATGCATGTTGAAGAACCAGAAGGGCTAACGGTCATGTGCTTATCACATCTACCTCTGATGTCTTTTGTCCCATTAGTTTGTAAATGGCATCATGTTTATCAACATATTTGCTTTAAATTAGGTGGAAATTCAGGTATTTGCCAAACAGTAGTTCAGTTTAAAGCTAAAAGATTGGTTGAGATTAGCTAACAGGTCAGTTTGGTTCAGAGAGGTCACATGTTCAGATACTATTCGGTTCAGGTAAGCTAACAGCTTTAGCAGCTAAAACAGTTTGGTTGAGATTATCTAACATGAACAGCTATAACTTTAGTTCATGTTAGTTTAGGGTTCAGTTCAGCAGCTGAAACCAGTTGTGGTTCAATCAATCAAAACCATTTAAGTTCCCGATAGAAACTAATTTAGTTTAAAGTTTAACCTGCGTAATGGACTTTCGGGTAAATCCTCTTTTTTTGTAATCTCACAGTAGTTTAGTTTTCTTTTGTCCGAGCTGTCAAAGTAGTACATTAAGATAAGTACGATTCATTTAATACAATATATTTAGTTGGAGCAAAACATGCAGACACACAGCATATTGTATGACATGCTATGACTTTTGTCGTGAAATGTATGAGAAGCAATAGTGCGACTTCTTTGTAATTTTTTATGACTTATTATACTATGATATACTATGACTTTTTTCGTGACATTTTTAAAATGAAAAAGCACCGTGGTTTATTATTTCCAGATGAAACAGATTAGTTAATACAGTTTAAGCACAATTCTTGTCTCCCTGGTTGGTCACCCCATAGTTTGACAACCGCTGGTAACCCGGTGAAATAGAAAATACAGAAAAAAGTACAAGTATTTGTGGTACTGTGAGGTATTCTGTTGTATCTTGCTAAATTCCTTTTGATTAACAGCCAGAGCAGAGATACACCAGAGGGATGTGACACTGATAGTAAATCCTTTCTCGCTTCCTCTTATCTTTCATGTTGTCTCTTGTCTGTTCGACTGTGTTCCGGTTCAGAGTGCTGATCGGAGGCATTTGTTGAGGTTGAGACCGAGAGACATCCACAACCTCTGGCTTTGGCCCCTCTCTCTCTCTCTTTACTCCTTGATTCATGTTTTTCTCACTTTTTACATGAATCAGCAGTGAGTGACCGTGTGTTTCTATGTGTGTGTGTGTGTGTTGGTGCCGATATGCAACTCTTAAAGAAAATAAATATCTTGGTGTCCTTCACACTATGTTTAACTCGCTTGTCTTGTCTTTAATCAGGCTTTCTCAAGGCATCACAGAAGTCAAAACAAAATATAAATCGAGGGTAATACACACTATCAGCCCGTCAGCAGCACGCACGGCCAGACACTATCTCAAACTATTGATAAAACATATGAGGGATGTAATTTGTGAAGAGTAAACTCTTTACAGTCTTATTCTGTAATACGTGTGGAAACTCTGCAGCAATAATTGCATCACTGAATTAAGCCTTTTGTGGTCCAACAGTAACCTCATATTACCTCTTATGAAGGCCTCATCATTACATGACATTCGGTTAATAAACAAATTTGGCAGCGGGGCCACCAAATTCCACCTGTGTTTTTGATGTTGCATGTTTCCTTTTAGCGCCATGGCATTGATACGTCCGTAAAAATGAAATTTAAATCATAAAAACTAATGACATTTTCAGCATGTACTTTGTGTTTGCTGCCAACATGCTAAGCTAAGATAGTGAAGATGGCAGACTGCATGTAGGCGGACATGCATGAGGGTCGCTTAGAAATGTTCGCTCGGCTATTTCCGTGCACATTTTCTCGTATGTTTGGAGAATAGAGTTGTAATTCTATAGAACAAAATTCTCGTTAAATTTCTCTTTCAATAGCAAATTGTTGATCAGTTTGGGTCAGTATCATCATGTAGAATTTGTAATTAAATAAAATGTTATGCCTTTCCTTTCCTCAGGGCCATAACTTAAACCATCAGATTCATTTAGATTTTATCGAGGAATTTTGGCAAAGATGTGACTGTGCCACCTGAGAGAAATTGGCGGAAAATAACAGAACTTGTTGGTGAGTTCTGAGATCAGACACAGTCAGTGCATGTGTTGAGGTCTAGCTGTAGTTAATGTCTATAAAGTTGGTTCAAATCGACTGTCTGGGGCGAGTAAACTGCAAACGCTGCTGTTTGAAATCTCCTTGCAAGTGAGCAAGGCAGTACTGCACCGGTGTATTGTCTGCCTGCTTCCTGCTATTGTGCTGTATGCTTGCAGTTTGACCTTTGACCCTCGCTCTGGTCAAAACCTCACCTTGCTGCGTCAGTCATCGGTTCTTAAAAGTCTTGCTTATTTCAGACAGGAAAAGAAACTCAGCTTTCTCATGTGTTCCTTTTTCATTCTGTGAAGCAGGCGAGGAGTTGTGTCAGCTGACGAGGAAATCCGTCCAAATCGCACCGCTCCGCTGGGACGTCCAGGAGGGGAAATCCACCCAAAACTTCCTGTGAGGAAGAGAGAGGACTTCTCACAATCTCTTTCTCTCTCTCTCTCTCCCTCTCCCTCTCTTCTCAGACTTATACTATAGCTAGAGTATATCCACTTCATTTGAATGACCAATACCTCGTTTAATGTCTCAAAGAGTTTTAAACAACAGAAAAAGGCAAACCACAAAATATTTAGTAAAGATACGACTTAACAATAATCCAGCAATTACTAACTTAATCCAGGGTTGTAATACATTTACTACTTTACTACTACTTTACACTCAGATTATGAGTTACTTTTTACAAGAAACCTTTTAAAAGAAACTTACATGTAATCGTTAGCGATAAAAACATAAGTAATATTATATGATACAATAATATAACACTGAAATAGGTGATTCTACATAATGAGTACTTTACTTTTGATAATTTAAGTACATTTTGCTGATATTCTTTTTACACAAGTAACATTTTTAATTCAGGAGTATTTTTAGACTGAAGTATTTCTACTTTTACTTAAATGAAGAATCTGAGTACTTCTTCCACCACTGGCGGTCTATAGTATCGTACAGTTTGGAGACGGAGAGCAGGGTGTGGTGTGTGTTACTACAAGTATACTTTAGCTGCTACAGTATACTGCTGTTACTATTGTGACTACTGTAACTGCTGCTACTACACGTACTAATACTGCTACTAGTGCTGCTGTCACTACTACTGGAGCAGTAGGAGGAGATGACCACTGCTGGGAGGTTCCTACTTTGCCAGTTTCTGTTGTTGTGTTTTTTTTTTGTTTTTTTTTGTTCCCTTCCTAGATTAGAGAGGAAGAGACGTGACGCCAGCAGTCCTTCCAGCCTCTCTGCCTCGCCGCACAGAGCTGAGCTGAGAGTTCATTTGTTATAATTTAATAAGAAGTTATTGTTGCCTTCAGACTGGAAATGAGCAAAGACTACTGCTGACAATCAAAGCACTGCCTGGATCCACCCTGTAGTCTCTTTTTTCATATTTCAAGTACTTATATTCTTACAAAGTTTTTGCGTCTATTAACAGCAGGTTACGTACAGTTGTTTTTTTTACACGTATTACTGTTGAAATCTATTGTTTTATAATAGTTTTGTTTTTCCTGCACACAGGATGTTGTCATGCGTGTGTTATTCCTGTCGATAGTAGAGCAGGTTGTGTTAGAGGTTCAGACTATATACAAGAGGAGAAAACTGATGGGAACAACCAGCGCTGCCTGAAAACATTCTCTACTTTTTCCACTGATTTTTGAGTGAGGTTGGTGGATTTATTTTTCCTCCCTGGATGTGACACTTTGAGCCATGCTGCTGCTGCTGCTGCTGCTGCTCTGCCTGCAAACCTCACTGCAAGAACAGGTAACACACCTCCAGCTCTGTCACACTGAGATATATATACATATATGTATATATACATATATGTATACATCACCTGTTTAGATCTCTAAGTGGTTCGTGGGTTGCTTTACTCTCTGATAGATGCAATTACAATACCTCGTTGTTTTTCTTCCAAGGCCTCACAGAATAGTTTTGCTAGTTTGTACAGAAACTAATGACATTTTTTGGTCACCGAATGAATGAAAAGTTGTGGATGGGGTGGACTCAGCCAAATCTTTTTTGCATAAATTGAACATCTCAGAGGTGAACTACTGTTTGAAGTACAATAACAGTACACTAGTACAGTCCTGACAAAAACCCAAACATAATACAACCTTAATAGAGTACTCTGGTAATTCATTAATGTACTTCAGTAAAGTTAGGGGACTTGCAAGAGACGATAACAACAATCAAAGCAGCAGAGGTTGAGATAGGCTGACTTTTAGTCTCTAGAAAGGATCAAATTTGAACAAAACTAAAGTCTAAAGTCATGCCAGCGTCTCTGTGAGGTTTCATTTAAGCACAGCTGTATTCTGAGTTGGATGCTTACAGTATACCAGCATGCTAACATGCTAACAGAGTTACAATGCTAACATGCTGATCTTCAGCAGGACATATTTACCTGCTTTATCATTCTAGTTTAGCTTGTTAGATTGTTTACGTTTTTAATTAGCATCAGTACAGCTGAGGTTGATGGGAATGTCATTATTTTTTACGGGTATTTGGACATGAACCACATTTTTAAGGAAGCTGAAATCTTTTTATGTAGCGGTGGCGCTAGTTAAGAAGTCATCAGATCAACAAAGAATTTATGAATGTCTGTACCAAATGTCATGGAAATGTATCCAATAGTTTCACTCAAAAACATTATGCCGATCCATCAGATAGACGTCAGACATGAAGAAGTGAAAACTTTGACATGCTGATGGCACTAGAGGAAAAGTCAGGGTACGATGGATGTTGTAAAAAAAACGTGTTTTGGTCATCCATCAATAGTTGTTGTAGTTTTAAACTCCTGATGACATCACTGTCAAATAGAGACTTAAACCTTGTTAACAACCACTAAAAACTCAATATTGTAGAAAGTGAACAGAAGCCTGATCCAGCAGCTGCGAGGTCTGTTTGTTCTTTATTCAGAAAGAGATTTCAGAAGACAGCTAAAGAGAAAATTTGACATCTCCAGAATAGTAGCCATGTTTGTCAAATTTGAAACCAGTGACAACCCAGTGTGTTTGTCCAGTCAGGTGTCAGAGAAGGATCATTTTGTTGTCTAAGTGAAGGAGAGAAGTGTCAATCAACTGTTACTGAAAGGACTGGATGAATAAAGTTGTATCTGATCTCAGCTGATTCAACCACAGACCACAAAGACCACAGAGAAAACTGGTGCTGCAACAAGATATTTTCAGTACGATCAGATGCGTCCTCACAGTGGTTCACCATCTTGAGTGAATCCGAATCAATTAAACAAACAAACAGCCATTTTTAATGTGGAAATACACAATAAAACATATTTTACATTGTGCTGTTCAATTGATGCTGAGTAGAAAAAGTAGATTTGAGATTCAAGTTGATGACGCCATCAGGTGACACTTTTTAGATTTGGTCAGAGGACATTAATAGTTTCCCAGTAAAACCAGCATGGCTGTTGTGGTAGAATCCCAGTCCGTCCAGTATTCTCTGTGGAGTTTCCCTCACCACTAAAACATCTCCTCAAATATCTGTGTTGTTGATCTCACACAGACAAACCTTGCTTTGAAAATGATTCTCCACTTTGGTGAACTTGCGTTGTTTTAAGTGTGTTTTATCTGTGAAAAATAAATTCACCCAAGTACTGTTTGTGTACAGTTTTGAGATACTTGTACTCCCATTTTATACTCGGCCTACTTATTATTTCTACTCCGTTACATCTCGAAGGGAAACATTGTACTTTTTAAGTCACTACATTTGTTTTAGTCACTTTGCAGGTTCAAAGTTAACATGCAAAACATTTGACAAATAAAATATGATACATTTTTATAAATTGAACTACTCAACAATAAGCAAAGTAGTTTTAATTAACTCCTCCTCAACTAGCTGCAACATTTATATACTGCTGACACATGAATGCATCAATAAGTATGATAGTAAACTGGTAAGATGACTTCTACTGCAAGTAGGTTTAAGCTTTTCCTGAAAACATCTTCCAGTCTGTTCGACATGACACGAGAAAGTCACCTTTCAGATGTTGTTTGAATACACATATTGATATACTTTAGTATCACATTGCTGTTGCTAGTATATTGTAAGCTCATGTGTACTGAGCGCTCCTTTGGGACACAAGAATCAAAGATTTCACTCATTCATCCAGTAGCCATCTGGTCTGAGAAGAGGAGGCGTTGAGAAGAAAAAGAGTTGTATCAGATCGTAACAGATAAAACTCCTCTGCCTCCTCAGACTCCTCCTCCTGGTCGGTGTGATATCTCCCAGAGGATGGACGTGCACACCTCCTGCACTTCTTGTGCCGCTGTCGGCAGCTGCCCCCACGGCTTCAGCAGCGTGGGCACGACCAACTGCAGGTACACGAACCAGGACCCATACCAACAGGTCTTCAGAGCAGTGCAGGGTTGTTGCAGTAGTGGTAATAGTAGTAGTAGTAGTAGTAGTATATGATGTGAATTAAACTGTTTCTTTACCTCATGTTCACTCTGTGCTGCAGTTACGTGGTGGAGATTGGCGGCAGGGAGATGGCGCTGGATGGATGTCAGCACATCTGTATAAAGGGATTCATGCAGCCACAATGCTGCCCACAGCACTGGGGTTCTCTTTGTCTCTGTAAGACACACACACACACACACACGCACACATACTCACACTCACGCACACACGTTACCGTGTTGGTTCAGCAGGTTATAAAGTTGAACCTGACGCAACACAATCTGACGTCAACCAGTCAACAAATCACACTGGTTCATCAAATACATGCAAAGTCCCACACCTGGTAGATTACTATGTAACATGAATAATTGTTCCGTGCACCTGTAGATCATGACACGGAGAATACAGTGACTGTCACAGGAATGACTTTAACTTAACAGAGCTGCAGATATTTAATTTTTTAATTACATTTACTCCTCATGATTATTTTTGGCAATAATCCTAAATATGTTGTGTTCTTAGTAGAACATAATCATATTTTTATGTTCATTTAAGTAACTAACAGACATACAATAATAATGCTCCTATTGATAAAGCCAAATAAAAACTGTAGAAGCAAGTGAATTGGGAATTTTAACTATTGCTGAATCAATAGTGTTGATTGACAGAAAATGGATCTATATCTATATATGATTTGGATTTTGGACGGTTTTTCAGACAAAACAAGATATTTGAGTTTGAGCACTAGAAATTATGATAAACATTTTTGGGGTATTTTTGGACATTATCGCTATGTAGATGAAGTAAAAATCGTTAGTTAGTTGAGAACATAATCAACAGATAAATCAATAATGAAAATAATACTCTTTTAAATATCCATACACATTTTTTATTCAGTGTTTGAAGTTCGGAATCCTGATTTAAAGTTTTTCTTTAATTTATTTAAGAAAATTCAAGTGTTGAAGTTTTTTTTTAAAGAAATGGCCACTAAACAAGAAGGCGGGACTAATATGTTCTGTCTGTAGCTCTGATTGGTTGTTTCATTGAGCGTCAGTTCTTTACACCAATCACGTACCGCTGTGATCACGCGTTACCGCACAGCTCTCGTTCACTGTCACAGGTAGAAAAAAAATGGACGTCAGAAAGTCTGGCCGAGTTAATTGAGACTTTCAGTTGCCTTATCGTGTTGTTGTGCTGTCAGTTGTGTGTACGACAAGAAGTAAGCGATAATAACTTATTCCTGCTTAGAGAGGGTTAGCTTGTTAGTGACTTTATGTGAATTATTGGTAGTTAAATGTGATTGTTTACACTAAACTATCCTGACTAGCAGAGAAAGATGAGGCGAAGAGTCCCGACCAGGTGTTTTTAATTAAGAGTTATAACATGAAAGTCTCCAACGAGCTAAGTTAACATTATATATCGCACAAGTTCTGTTTTTACTCTTATGCATATAAGTAATCATAGACCATTTGTATTGTTGTGTTTTGGTTTATATTTATTATTAACTGTTACTTGCAGTAACGTTAGTCTATATTTAGTGATATTCAGACATTCATTTTTCAAATGAATGATTTAAATTATTATGACTTTCACACAATCAAACAATAATCCAAAAATATTTAAATCTCCACGGAGACAGATCATATCTACTGAGAGCTGAACATTTTTATCGAGAAATTACAGATTTTATTATTTTTATAAATTGGAGTTTTCCCGTTCTAAACGGAGTAGTTTGGGTGTTTTTGGAACAGTGTCCATTAGAGGAACTGACGTTGACAAAGATTTGATTCTGACCCATGAAGCTGCAGTTCAAAAATAAACATAATAGTGTCATATAACAGTGATAACCTGTCACCTGTCTCTCTCTCTCTATATCACCTGTCTGTCTGTCTGTCTGTTGATCTGTCTGACTGTTGCTCTGTCTGTCTGTTGATCTGTCTGTAGCCTGTCCCAGCTGGTCAGGGAAGACCTGTAACTTCCATGGAACCTGTTTGGACGGAGACCTCGGCAACGGGACCTGCGTCTGTGATGTCAGTATGTTGTCCGTGTGTCCCTACCTGTTTATCAAAGAGTTCAGAGATAAATATTGTTTATTTATAGCCGACAGTGCCCTTAACTAGCCATTAACAATAACAACCACTGCTCAATCTCTCAATGTCTCATCAGCCTCTCAGTCTACGTCTCTCACAGGAGTTTTGGAGTTTTTTTGTGTGTTTGATGTTGTTGTGGATTTGGAAACACAGTGGGTTTATATTGTTGATGTCTTGATTTCCCTCTTTAGGACGGCTTCTCTGGTTTTGCCTGTCAGGAGTGTAAGAATGAAAACTTCTTTGGAGAAAAGTGCGACAAAGGTAAAGGCTCTCTCTAACTTCTCTCTCTCTCTGATAGATAAATACTGAGGCTAAAGAAACACCTTCACATTGTTGTGTTAACAGCTGCAAAAATGTCCCACATGTGTTGTTTGAAAAACTGTCCTCTTGTCTGTGTGTGTGTCTGTCCAGAGTGTGACTGTGCACATGGAGTGTGTAGTAAAGGTCCAGAAGGTGATGGACAGTGTTTGTGTCAGCCGCCGTACGCTGGGAAGCGCTGTGACCAAGGTAAGACCATGACACAATGTACTAAACTATATTAGACTATATAAACCATATTAATCTATATCAGACCATGTCACTGCATGCTATTAGAATAACATATATAATTCACAGATACTCAGTTGGACTGGGTATCCTTTGAGTGTTTTTTAATAATATTAAATAAAACCAAAATATTCTTTATAAGAAAGAAAGAAAATAACCCTAAACAAGGTTTTTTATTTTTATTTTTTATTATAGTTTCTTACCAAGAAAGTATGAAGGTTTTCCACTGTGTCTGTTGGTAAAACACACTGTGACACATTTAGCAGGTATTGCTCCAGTTTGTTGTTACTTCCGTGTGATGGTTAATTGTTGCACCACACTGAGCTGCGGTTGTGTTTTGTGGTGTTGGCAGTGAGTACCAGGTGCAGTAACTGCGGCCCCTACTCGTACTGTAAAGGAGAGGGAGACACCGCCAACTGTGAATGTCTGCCCGGATACAGGAGGATGGCATTCGGCAAATGCGCAAGTAAACACTCAACTCATCTCAGATTTCTCAGTTTTATTGGTTCCCAGACTTTGGTTTCATATGTCGTTATGAGTCGGTTCATCTGTTTAATGTGTGTTAGCAAGCCAAAATGAACATGACAATGTTAATCCTGAAGAAAGTTAAGGTAAGTAAGAGTATACTGCAGATCCTTTGACAGCCGACTTTATCAAAAATATGTGTGTGCATTATGGCAACGGAAGTGGCATTTTGACCCAGATTTCTAGACCGATAACCAAGCTTTAAACATTGTGTTGAAGCTGTTAACTAGTTCTACAGAATTCTAACCATTTCAGAGCGACAGGTGTTTCAGTTTGACGAGTAACCATGTTAATTGCAGGACACCAAAATGTTCTGTTCACGTTTTCAGCTGAGAGTCACCAGTTAACACAGTCACTCGTTAAAGCGAAACACCAGCGACGGCTTTGACTGAAAGCTGTTTACCATGTTAACTATCACTGCACTGATCAAAAAGAGCTTAAGTTTGTGAACATTTTAAAACTCAAGAAAGTCAAAACTCTCAGTTTATGTCATGGTGTTTGACGTTTAGGCTGCTAGGGTTCTCCAGCAAATACATGTCTGACCACTAAATATCAACCTGCTAATGTATTCTACTCACTCACTAATAACACACTTATAGGAAGTCACTTTAGGTTGCATTCGTGATCTTTTGCATAGCTTGACCATAGACTGCAAGCTAATGCACTCCGATCTTAGACTATATGACTCACACTCACATGTTGACAAACTTGTTTTTTATTTTTTTATTTCAATGAACAAGGAGATTTTGTGAATGTTTGGTTTTTGTCTTGAGGATAAAAATATCCCAGAGTCTCATCTGGACCGAGTTAGATCTTCGTTTCCCTGATCAGGTATTTGCTCAGCGAGGGATTGTGACGTCAACGCCAAGTGCTCCTCACAGGGGTCAAGGGTCACCTGCGTCTGTAAGCCGGACTACCAGGGCGACGGCAGGATCTGCGTACCCAAAAACCCTTGCTCCGAGAACAACGGAGGGTGTCCCATCAACTCGACCATCTGTGTCTTCAAAGGACCCAACAAGGTTAGGGTACCTCCAGAGCCAGGACCAGGACCAGGTCTAGAACAAGACATGTCCTTGAACTAGAATCACCATCAGTGCCGAGAGCAACAACACAGAGGGTTGATGTCAGAACAAATATTCATTATTATGTCAATATTAGTCATTATTATGTCCAGAATCTAAACCAGAGCTAAATCCTGAAACTGTGTTTAACCACGCTGTCTCTATGTGTCTGTCTGACTGTCTTTATCTGTCTGTCTGTCTTTATCTGTCTGACT